AGGATGCATAGATCATCTCCAACTCATGGTCCCCAACTCCATCAGGTTTATCAGAACATAACCCCAGCATAAGCCAATTCATGGAGATTCCATTAGGATTTTTCAGCTTCCTGATGGCCTGAGGGCCACCCATCTGGCCTTCTGTTTGGACTTTCTGCACAGTGTTCAATACATTACATGAGACATTCCAGTTCATTGCAACACGGGCTTTGTGTTAGGTGTTTTTACCTAACTGTTGGCCAGAGTGAGCCTTCCAAGCACTTTTGGGATAGTCTAGTCTAAGCCATGATGTTCGGAAGGTTAGGTTTATTAAATATGGTTTTTAAATGTTTCATTAGTGCATTGTAGTTATCCATAATATTGGGGTTCATTTTGATATAATCGTGCATGTATGGGACATAATTTGCTCCAATTTAGTCCCCAGGACTTCCTCTTCTCCACCTCCTCCCTGTTCCCCTTGAATGGATGAACTCGAGGGCACCATGCTCAAAGTGAGATAAGGCAGACTCAGGATACCCAGGGCCCACCCAATGTTCTCCCTCATATGTGGAAGCTAAAGAGGAAAAAAAAAAAAGAAGTGGGGGGGTGGGGAGTTGTAGGGTGGGGTCCCAATGAAAATCAAAGGGAGATCAATGGAGCAGAAAGGGAAACTGAGGAGGATTGAGGAGGGACGGGAAAGGGAGGAACCTCGGAACGAAATGGACCAAGTTATGCTACGTGCATATCTGAATAGGCCACAGGGAATTTCACCTGTATGTATGTCCATGGGGCGGCCGTTAAGTGTGTTTTTGACTTAGGATATTTTCAAATCCGTCGGGTTTATCAGAACCTAAGCCCAGCGTGAGTCAAGGAGCATCTGCATCATGACCTGGAAGTTCCTTTGGTTTATTTCATTCTTTGGTTCAAAAGGCACAAGACAAATTACTTCTCTGACGTCCCAGCAGTCCTCGCTGTCTACCTGACCTCCCCCGGGAGCTTCCCACTGCTGCCCAGGCTTACCTCTTGCTTGTGCAGCTTCCATGGTGCCCAGGGGGCAGGACTGCAGCTAACCTCCCAGCGGAGGCAGTTCCAGCACAGGGAATTCAGAGGGCTGGCTCTGGGAACACCAGCCGGCTTCCTGGTAAATCCCTCAGTGCGGTTTAGAAGTCTATGGGATGACGTGGGCCCCCTGGAATTCTGTTGCTCTGTATTCATTTAGTAGCCCCTCGGTCTGCCCCAGCGTCAGGGCTGAGCTGGAGAAGAAACAGGAGAGTGAGGGGTTCCCCACAAGACCGAACCCCTCCTAGGAAAGGGGCTGGGTATGTGCTAATATCTAGACAACTCTGGGAGGCCCCAAAGTTCCTGGGAGATCTAGGCCATTTCGACAAGCACGGAGCTAGAGAAATGAGTGATCTGCCTAAGATTTCACACTTGCTTTTGGAAAGGCTAGGGTTAAAAACCTCACATCTGCTGGATTCTACATCATCAGACAAGCATCTGGCCACATGTGAAATAGACAGGCTTTCTCCTGTGCCTCCCCTCCAGCCCCTTGCCCCCCACCCCAGGACCCCACTGCTTCACCCTGGTGGAAGGCAGGTGGGAAAGCTGTGGATGCGTCTACCTATGGGTCAGCCCCTTGCACCCTGTCCCAGGCCACCATTACACCCAGACAGCTGGACTGATACAAGAACAGTGGGTGTTTATCAGCGACCTTGTTCAACATTCACTCAGTAGCCAGGACAGCAAGGGACACAGTTAAATAAAACATCACATTTGTCCAGAACAGTTTTATAATCTGTTAGCTTGAACTGTATGAAGTTGCCAATGTTTGATCATTTCTGACAATCCTGTAGGCTTCCATCTAATAGTGAAATGAGAGCAAGAGAGTGATCGTTTAGTGGGAGCAGATACCACATTATAGAACCTGTGTGAGCTGCTTTCAACTCCTTAAGTAATTTATGTTCTACAATAACAACTTGAGCGACCCTGCCAAATACTGGAGAGTCGAAGAAGTCACTTTGTTTCCTAAGGAGACACTGTTTGGAAGCATCAGAGATGTGTCTTTCATCTCCATGCCCTTTACCTAGACACCTGGACCTGCTTCCTAGCTGTAGCAGGACTGGGATGCTGCTGTGGAAATTGTGGGGATTTGGCCTGGTGGTGGCACTGTGCTGGCCACCCTGGGAGACAGTGTTTTCTGTCATCATAATGGATAATGATCATCAAATGTGATAGTAAAAATATTTTAAAGCCAGCGAGGCTTGGGCACTGACCAGGCAGGACTGACACTTGACCCAACAGCATGGGCGCTAGCTGCCCATCTTGAGGAAGGCCACAGAGCATACAGACAGCACAGTGAGAGCAGAACCCCAGCTTGGCCCCATCTCCTCCCGATTGCATACGAAATGTCTTTGTTATGAACTGAAAATTTCTGTTCCTCCACAATACCTGCATTGAAGCTTTAACCCCCAAAGTAGCTATATTTGGAAATGGGACCTCTAAGGAAGTAATTGAGGTTAAATGTAAGGTAAGGTCCTTGTACAATAAGATTAGTATCTTTGTAAGAGACCCCAGAAGGTTCCCTCTCTCCCTAAAGGTATATACCATGGAAAGGCTATGTCTGCAAGCCAGGAAAGAAGCCTCCATCAAAAATCAAATATGACAGAAACTTGATCTTGAACTTAGCCTCCAGAACTGTGAGAAAATAAATTTATCTGTTTCAGCCACCTAGTCTGTAGTACTTTGTTATAGCAGCACAAGCAAACCCATACAGGCTTAAATACATTCATTGTATGTATTTCTTTACCTGCCCACCTGCCCACCTTATGGAGGGCTCAGAAAGGGTTGGGGGTGGAGTGCCACTGGCTTTGGTCCATCCTGGAAGTGACATATGGGCAGCAGACGGTGATGCCTCACAACCGTGACTGACAGCAGCCTGACACCTCCTGCTCCAGAAAGGGCATTATCCAGAGTACACGTTGTTTTTCTCTCACAGAAATTAGCTGCAGCTTCTAGTATAAATAACACTAATTATTGGAGTACTCTCCCCACCAGAGCTCGATTAGGACCTGGAGGTACTGGGACTCAACCTGAGTTCAATGTCACTGTCTCCTGCAGCTGCAGTAGCTCCCCTGCTTTCATTGCAAGGTTAGATGTACTTCTCACAGTTGTTCTGTCTCATCGTGTGCATGTACATGTTGCATGATGCCCATGTGAGCAGCTTAGATCCTTTTTCTTCTCCTAATTAAAAAGAATTCTCTGCAGCCTGTGGGGTGGGGTGCCAGAGAGAAGGAAGTGAGATGCATAGGAACGAAGGGGACTGTGGGGAAATGGGAAAGCCCAGGCCCAGTGGCCAATGCCTGTCATCCGTGGTTACACCTGTGAAAGAGACTCTTTAAGCCTAGAAATGTCTCCAGCCATTTACTTGGACAGGGTCCTCCCAGTTCATTCAGTTGTGCTATTTTCAGAAAAGGTGAAAAGAAGTGCTGCTACAGTAAACCCCGGTCTGTCTTCAAGTCCCACAGCAGGGGAATAAATGAAAGGACAGGAGTGGAGAGGCCCAATGCTTGAGAATGCCCACAGCATGCTCTGGTTTTCCCCTGGAGGGACCCAATGGTGTGCAAAGAGCTCACCATAAACACAGAATGCAAATGGGTGTGCACACATGTGGTGGCTTAGAGCAGAGGGTGTTTGATTGCAGAGATGATTCTATTGGTGAAGTTTGCACTCTCCGCTGGGGCAATTGGAGGGACTTCTTTCCTGGCTTCTCCAGTGTTTCCCTGTCCTTCTTAACCCTTCCTTAAAATTTGGTGTGCAGAGGCCCAGGCAGCCCTGCACGCCCTCAGCTTGCAACAAGATAATCCAGCCAGAGTCTTCTGCCTGAGAAGAAAGGGTCCTCTTGGCCACAGAGGAGAGGAGAGACAGGGCAGGGGCCACAGGTTCCAAGAAGAGCCAACACTGGTGGTGTTCACGGTGGCACTGATGATTGGCAGCTGGCCTCTAAGAGGCATGTGTGCTGCTTGAATGTTCCAGTAATAATAACTCTCAGGCACTCACTGCACTGTGGGTCTTGCACACATGCCCTAATTTGAACCCCAGAGCCAATCTCTGAGGTCAGAACTCTATGGGATCTTTCAGGAGAAGGAACCAAAGTGAAAGGCTTTGAAATCAGACTTCCAAAGAAAGCCACATAGCAAAATGCCATTGCAGCCTGCAACTCTGGTCCTTGGCTTGGAATTCTCTCCCATCTCCCGCAGAATCACCTGGAGTCGAGGGGTGGGGGGAGGCTGGCTCTCAGCAGGGTCAGCAGAGCACGGTGCAGCCCAAGATTCAGAAAACTAAGAAGCAGTGGAAACTGTGTTACACTGAAGGCTGTCAAGACAAAGCTGAAAAGGAGATACAGAGAGAACAGCAGGAGAGCAGCCCTGAATGTGGAAGTTGCTGCTTATCTTGGGCAGAGGTACAAACTCCATAGCTCTGCCGTGACCTGAAGGCTGTCACCAAGCAAAGGGGGCAGAGTGGCTTCCAGGACAACTCCTCAAGGCCCAGCATTCAGGGCTGCTGTGTAGCTCAGCCCTTCCAAGAATGCCCCCTCCTGGTGACATTCTCAAAGGCCAGGCCATAGCCACACCAGAGGCGGTGGCTTCAGATTCTGGGAAGCTGCTCCTGCAGACCTGAGTCTACCTGTGCGAGCATCTCTGCTCTCTCTTTTCCCTCCTCAGTTCCCAAACGAGTGCTAGGTAAATTATTTTCCTAAGATAAGATACACCCTGGTAGAGTTTGCTTCCTTTTTTTTTTCATTAACCCTGAATAATACTCTCTATGTCATCTGTATATTTATGACAGCTCAAAGACATGGGTGTGTGGATCTAATTAAAAATGTGAAAGGGTTTAGCAGCCTGCTGCCTCCCTGCAACTCTCTGGTTGCCAAATCTTGGCAGCCTTGTTGAAATGGGGCCAACTGTTTAGTCTTCTGCTGAACGGCTGCCAGGGCGCAGTGCATTGTGGGGTGAGGCCCCAGATCCTGCCACCCAGAGGAAACCTGAGCCGCAGCAGCTCCGGCTCCCCCTCTGCTGCCCCTCCCCACTGCTTTCCAAGTGCAGGTGGTGAGGCCAGTGGCCTGGTGGGTGACGGCCCTCCAGGTACTAGGAGGAAACTGTCCCCAGGGTGTTTGCTGGCTTGCAGTTAACATGAGGCCTCTTCAGAGGAGAAACTTCTCCACTTCACATCAGCCGTCTCTGGGTGAGTTTCTGCTCAGCTCTAGGCGTCTCCGCTGTAAGTCTGAACCTCCCTTCATGGCTCGTCCGTTGTGCCGGATCTAGCAACCTTACTGTGCACACATGTCACTGGGGATCCTGAGGAAATGAGGGATTCTGATCCAACAGAAAAAGAGAGAATTCATTTTGCTGCGCTCAGAACTTACTAGAATTGCTTACAACCAAGTTAGAACTCCAGATTCCAGCCTGAGTCAGGGACATGGGGCTCTGGAAAAGGACACCTCGGTGGTTTGCAAGGAGAGAGAAAGCAGGGCAATTCAGAGCTGGGCACTCTCCGTGATGGGTGGACAAGAGAAGTGAAACTGAAACAGATCTAAGGCAGGGTTATTTTTATTTCCTCAACATGTGCCAACAAAAACAACAACAATAAAAAAAAAAATTAAACAGGGAAAAAGGATTGCATTCTTTCCATGCAAAAAGGCTCTTTTGCCAAGTGAAAATTCAGCTCTCAGATGATCTTCTAAGACTCTTAGGAAGACAACGTTGCCTTCAACCTCAAACCCTGGGTGTTACTGATTTTCCATAATACTTGTGATGCATTTATTTCAGAAGAAGAAGGAGGAAAGAAAGAAGAGGAAGAAGAGGAGGAAGGAGGAAGAGGAAGAGGAAGAGGAGGAGGAGGGGGAAGAGAAAGGGGGGAAGGGATTATGATTATTATTAGAACTGTAATGATTGTTAGAGGGAAAGATCTAACTATGACCTTCTGCAGGGCAGGGCAAGAGTGTGGAGAAAGCATGAATTTTGAAATACTTCCCTCCCAGGATGGGATTTGGCTCTGGCATTAGACTTAGGGAAAGCAGCTGCCATAGCTGGGCCTATGTGGCCCAGTCTGTGAAATGGGGTGATGATGCTGTCACTGCAGTGCAGCTGGGCGCACTCTGCATGTGTTTGTGGAGGGGCTCCTACCCAGGGGGCCTTGACAGGCGTCTTACAAATCCAGAGCCTAGGTCCCATGGGACCAGGCCATTACCCCAGATAGAATTGCATCCCAGTAGACTGCTCTGAGCACAAATGTATTCTAAAACCTCTGGATGGGAGCTAATCACTGCGGAAGTCACAGAGCCTCAGTTCCAGATATCAGAAGAGCCCCCAAAAATGAGACCCTGGGGAATGGCAGAGAATGTTCTCTTTCTTTTCAAATGACAAATTTATACATGTGAAAAGTTTGAAACGACATGCCAAATAAATCATGAGTAGTCATCATATAGCTGGTCACCTTTATTAGGAAACAATAAAATGCATGAAGTCGGTAGGGTGCAGGGAGGTGCAGGTCACAAGAGTCCCTGTACGATTCTTTCCTCCTGTCCTAAGTTGGCACAGCAGCTCTCTTGCTCATGATTTAGACAATGCACAACTGGCTGCTTCAGTCACAAAGAGAGAGACGATTTGCTGGTAAGATCCTCTGCTTTTTCTAGGAAAATTCCACTCCAAGATTCTGTATGGACTCTCATCCAAACACATGGCAGGTGATCATCTAAACCACCCAGGGAAGGTGCCAGAGGTAAACATCTAATTAATTAAAGAAAACCTCCCTCCCCACCCCAACCTGGAAAAGGCCCTGTCATGGAGAAGTGCTCACTCTCGCCAATGCACGCTCACACACGTACTTTCCAAACCGCTTCCAGGTGACTGGTCCGCAAGCGGCCTGCCTCTGTTAATTAAAGTCTACAAACCTTCAAGCCCATCGCCCTTCCTTGGTTGTCTGCGTGACCACAACCCCTACGCTCTTCCAAGCAACATTTGCTCCAACTTAATATTCTGGTGCTTTCAGGAACATTTAAAAATAAACCATTTTGGCACATTGTCAAAGTCTTGTCTACATTCCTTCATGACAACCACCCTAAGTGAGATTTTAAAAGCCAAAGGGAGGTGGGGGCGGGGAAGAAAGGAGTCCCCTCCCCCGCCTTTAGAGTGATAATTTCAGCTGGTGTCAAATGAGCGTGCATTCTTCCTGTTTTGCCCAGGTTTAATTGCCCCTCGGGTGCTCTGGGCATCCTGGGTTCATCCTTGACTCCTTGTATCCTTCTCGTTTTTTCTCTTCTTGGAGCCGGATCACCTTGATGGATGAGAAAGGGGCATTTGAATGCCAGGAAAATTTTTGCTATTGTTGTTTTGGTCCCCAGCTGGCCACAGGAGGAAGAAGGGCTGGACAGGGAAGGGGCCCCAGGCGGGTGCTTCAGTGTGGTTCCTGGTCCTCGCTGGTAATCGCTGCAAAACAATTCTGTCTGCTCCCTTCCCATCCACAACCTACTCTTCCTGGTCTGTTGCTAAGAGACCAGCCTGTTGTTTACAAGATCCTCCGTGGCGTAGACTTCCATAATTTATAATTTATTATCTTAGTGTCAAAACTTGTGTTGGTTTTTATTTTATTTCACCATAGATCCAATAATTGTTAGATACAACAAAGGTCAGGCGTCTGCCGGTGGTGAGGCTGTGGCTTCCATAGTGGCCCTCGCCACCCCCATGTTTAGGTGCTGCCAAGGAAAACGCTATTATAAACTGAAGATGAATATCATTTTTTGTCCATTAACTTCACGCATTCTATGACTGCTCAGGTCAATGGATTCCCTCAAGATTTGCTCACTATTGAAAAACATGTTTCTGTCCAGCCAAGAAGGAAATGAATTGAAATGATTTCAATTATCCCAAGAAAGGCGGGGAGCCTTCCGCCGGGCAGCTACATGATCTATGGGCTCCCTGTTCGAGATGAAGGATCAGAAGTTTGAGATTCAATTCCTATAAACTGAGGTGGATCATTTAATGTCAAGATTCCTAGTTTATACGTTCACAAACACTAGGATGATCATCACCTTCTTCTCAGGAAGAGAGGATTAAAATTGAAAAATGGGTACAACACAGAAGTGGAAGGTGTGGGGTTATGCAAATGTGATGGTCTTTACTCGAACCTTGTGGTCAGTAAAACATCCAAAGCCTGGTGGTCTCTCAGCAGTGTGGTCTGAGTATGGGATCCACTGCGTCAACACCACTGGGTGCTGTGGGTTCGGACTTGGACATCTGAGACCTTCCTGCCCATCATTCACAGCACTTGGAGTGCGGGGGTGGGGGGGCAGCAAATGTGTCAAAAAAAATTCTCAGAAGTATCCACTTCTATGAGACTAAGATTGAGGTCTGTCTTTTCACATGATAAAACTCATTTTCCTTATTTGTAAATTAGGGATATTATCACTCAAAACTTGAGGCTGTCCCAGGCCATCTGTCACTCATGAAGGACTCAGTACATAGGGAGGAATAGAAGGTGAAACGTGGCGTCCATGTCAGCAGGCACCCACATTATAGAAATGCAGACACAAAGCCCCTCTGCCCCTCCACTGACGTTTACTCTTCCTTTGGGTGTATAACATCCAGCAAGCTAAAGCTCAGGAAGTAGAAGGGTCAGCCAACTGTTTTACCAGGATGCTGTTCAACCCTCAGCATGATCGATGAATAAAGAGAGTACGATGTAAAGAAGGAAGAAGCTCCTAGGGACCCAGGGTGAGTTGATGCAATTTTCAGAAATTGGTTCCCCTACCTGAATTATCCCCTGCCTGCCTCTGAAACGGTGCCCCTCTGCCTTTCTGGGAAAGCAAACTCTTCCACCCAGAAGCCTAATGTGCCACCTGGGGTTTCCAGCTCCAGATAACCCCAACCACACATCCCCCTCATTGATATCTAAAGTCCACTGATCCCCTTTCCCAAGTGTATCTCCTCTGCTAATAGCTCTGAGGTGTCCAGGGCAGTTTCTGAAGATAGTGCTCTACACAGGGCGGGATGATGCCTCTCGCCTTCCCAGCCAGCTCTAAGGGTCCCTGCCCTTGGGAGATGGAGCTTCCTAGCACAGGCTCCTGCTCCAAGTCTCCATGTGTCCCTTGTCCTCTAGAATCCCATCACCACGAGCCCTTTGGATCTGCAGTGTGGAATCGCTGCTTGCTCTGCCTGCGTTTCCCGATGCCCGTGGGTCTGACTCTGCACCTTGCGCCCTGCGTGCTTAGCACGATTCTCCTTTCCCAGCGAATGCTGCTTAGTCTCTGAGACAGCACTCCCTCGCTGCTTTCTCTAAGTCTCCCTGAATTCTTTGTGCAGTTCAACCAGCTCCCTTCGTCTAGTTCACCTCTTGCATCAGCAAAACCCTGACCCCTCCCTCCCTCCCTCCTCCTCGAATGCTCCTGGGTCCTGCTGTGGGTCCCCCTCATGGCCTTGCTCTTAGCTTCTTCCTGGCCCCAATGTGCTTCTCAGGGGCTCCCAGGGCTGTGTTTCTTCACTAGCCACTGGATGTCCATGTTCCTGAAGGCTTGCATAGGCCTTTGAAAGACACCATGATAACTTCTGTGGTTGGAGGCCCATCTCTCCCCAGACTGCACTCCATCCTATACCACGGCTCCAGGGCTACGGCTCCAGGGCTGCGGCGCCAGGTCAGCTTCTCCTCAGACCACAAGCCTCGGCTTTCACGTCTGTGAGGGCTGCCTTGAGACATGACGAAGCTATCACACAGAGCCTTCAGTGACTGCCCAAGTCCTATCCAGGGCCAGTGTCCTTGGACCAATGGCACCACACACGTAGCAAGCCCAGTCAAGAATCCTAGACTCCTTTACGGATCCCTTCCCCTACATCAACCCACCCACGTGACAAGGACTGTGGATTCCACCTTTTCAAGTCTCTTCCATCTCCCAACCCACCACCGTCAACCCCAACTCTCTTGGTTCTGGCTGCATCATCTCTTCTCTGGATGTGAAGTAAACCCCGAAGCCAGCCCCTGCCTCTCACTTCACCCCTCCCATCCATTCCCGAGCTCACAAGCAGGAGGATCTTTCTACAGCACCCACCTTACCATCAATTTTCTTTCTACGACTTCTTAGGGTTCCTTTGCTGAATCAGGGTCCTATGCAGAAGCCTCGGACTGATTCGCAGAGACCTCGTCCTGGTTTTAGATGACTCTGGTTCCTGGGTCTTGCACCTTCAGGCTTTGGAGCCATGCTGAGGTCCTCGAGTTCCTGCCCTGGGCTCTGCTCTCCCAGGGGTCATGGCCTTCACCCATGCTGCCCTCCTCCCAACCTCATTTAAGCCCTGGCAACCTCCAGACGCTAGGGTCCAGTTTATTTCGTAGGGTGCTTGGTCTCCCTTGCCCACCACTGAATCCCCAAAGTCATGAAAGCCTGCAGGAAGTCAGTGGAAACATATTTGAACAAATTATTAATGGCTTTCTTTTTTCCTTGAGATCAACTCTGGATTTAAATTGGTAGAATTTTGCTGCAAAAAACTACATCTGTCTCCTTTTCCTACCCACCAATCTGAGCCCTCATCTCTCTCCTCCTTCGACATCCCTGGGTTCTACGTTCAGTAATGTGCTTGCTTTCTGTTTCTAACTTGTGCCAAGATTTCTTCCACAGAGATGCCCTGTATCCTGAGGCTGCAAGAAGCTGGGGGCTTCTGTTTCTGACCCTCAGGTTCCGCTTAGAGAACCCACCTAGGATTCATGAACACCACGGGGCACTTTTATGTCACATTGTCACAGTAATGGGGACAAACTGTGTTGGAGCAGGTCTTCTGGGCTGGTCCCCACTGCTTGTATATGGTTCCTATCTTCCAAAATCATTTTGGCAGTTTTTAAGAGTAGATTTTTAGCCCTCCCCCAAATTCAAGTTCTTCTGAGTCAAATGATTTTCCTAAAAAAATAAAATAAAATAAAATAAACCACTTTTCTGCCCCAGGCAAACTGCATTTTAGCATCATACATTTGTTCTGCTTTTGCAATCCTAAACCCTTGTGCCAGAGAGAGCAAATCCTCCAGCCCTTTGATCTTCACAATCCTCCAATTATCTCTCGGGTCCCCTTCTGTTGTCATTTAGGGTAAATACATACAGTTGGCCTTTGTATCTGTTCATGAAAGGTAATCTCACTCTTCTTCTAATTATTTCTGGGTCCCTTGGCTGAACGCCTTCTGGTCTGCAGGCTTCCATCTCACAGCACACAGCCCTGCCTGGCTCTACAACCCCATGTCCAGGGGCTCCCCGCAGAGCTCACAGCCAGCTGTGATCACCTGTCTGTTCTCTCCAAGAAGGCATGGTGACCCCACAGTGCTGTCACCTCCAGCCCAGCTGTTCAGCTCAGGACAATTGCCCTGTGACTTGGTGAATGACCTTGAAACTCGAGTGCCAGCCGTTGGTCATTCTTGACCCTTCGAAGGTTTCCATTTGCAAGCTCTCAGCAGACATTTTGGTCTTGAAGTCGGAACACTGTATAGGCAACTCCTGTGTGAGTCAGCTTTGCCACACGGTGACCAAAATACCTGACGTGACCTTAAAGGAGGAAAAGTGCTATGTTGGCTCATGGCTTCAGAGGGTCGGTCCATGGCCAGCTGATTCCCAAGCAGACACATCACAGTGGAAAGACACTCAGCTCAAGGTGGCCAGGGAGCCAGACAGGAAAGGGTCATGGGCAAGATAACCCTTGTGTGGCCACATCCACTCCGTGACTCACTTCTCCCAGCTAGGCCCTGCCTCCAGTCCTCCATCCAGCTACCAATGGACCTGTCCAGCGATGAGGTCAGAGGCCTCATGAAGCAGTCACTGACTGAAAGCAGCTGTGCACCTTGCCCCACTGGGGACCATGCTGTCAACACACACACTTTGGGGGACTTTCCTGATCCAGTTCTGATACCTTTGGCTACAGAAGGCTCTGCCAATCATCCTGGTGGCTCTTTAGCCACATCTCTGGTCTGGATTGAGGAAAACACATCTTGATACACAATTTTACTTCTTAAATGGAGGGAAAGAAGGACGAGTGCCCCCGCTTCTCCCTCCCCAGAGAACACA